CCCCAAAACCCCAAAACCCCAAAACCCCAAAACCCCAAAACCCCTTAAACTATCCTGAGAGCTGCAACGTAACATAAATTTAATTAAACATGGAAGACCATCAATACATTATGACTACCTCTATGTTCCAGTACCTTGAGGACATGGACAACCTTTTGAAAGAAAATTCTGTAAAGCAAACTCAAGAAAATTTGATGGAAATGGCTCCTGAAGATCAAATGATCAATTATGATTACAATGTGGATTTTAATCAGGACGTAATGCCTGAACAAAGCTATGAATTCGATTTTGGAAAAGGAAACAACCTCGATAACGACATGTTCAGCCAAAAGCTCGACCTTCGAGATGAAATGGAGCTGGATGCAGGAATTCCGGACTTCAAAGAAGCTCTGCACGCGAACTCCTCGTCTACAAAACTCGATCTTTCTAGACCGAATGAGACCCAAGGAGAGATTGCCTCCCCTGTAGAGAGTGAGATGAAGGAACCAGAGCCAAAAACTAAAGGCAGAATGTCTAATAAGGAACGTGCCAGAAAAGCAAGGCAAAGGAAGAAGAAGTACTATGAAGATCTTGAAAAACGCTGCTGTTATTTAGAAGAACTTTGCAAAAACCTCACAAAGGAGCTCCAGTTTAATAAACACAAGGTTAGGCTTTACGAATGCTCAGACCGTGGTGGAAGCCACGAGGGGTTTAACAGAGACATCCGAATGATAGATAGCCTCATAGAAAGAGCCAAGAGAATAGACGGTAATGATGAAAAGCTTATGAAGACTATCCGAAATATACAAAAAGGATACAGTTCAATGGGTGATGAGAAAATGAAAATCCTAGATGGCTCCTTCGACATGTTCATGGAAAACATCCTTTGTGGTACAGACTTTAAATCCTTATTTTATTCCGTAGATAAGGATCTCCCTAAAACCTTTGCAGAGGCACAGGCTTATTTAAAGATGAAAAAATTCCAAAAATATGAGTTGTATCCTGATGAGAAGCTCAGAGATTTTTTGGATATCAAGTTACCAATGATCAAGACTGAGGAAGAGTATGACCATCTCATGGTCAATAAGCTCCTTATTGTCCGAGACATCAAAGAAGAGATTAAAGAAGGCATAGCCACTCTATATAAAGGTAAAGAGATTATCTATAAAGCTTTGATGAAAAATGATACGCTAAATGGAAGCTACGCCTGGTATAAAATGGATAAGGTCAAGATTCTCAATTATTTAGAGGAAATGAAGCATAGTAACCTCAAATTTACATATAAAGATGCATTCGATGTTAAAGAAGAGGAAACTGAAGTAGAAATGAGAGTAAACATTCCTAATCCTGAAATATGGAGTATCCTAACTAGGATGCATGCTCCTGAAAACCCTGACTTACAGACAATGACTGAGTGGGCGAAAAGCTATAAGATGAACCACCTCGTATCTCCCATTGCTTAAAAATGTGAAAATTTATTCCTTAATCTCAAATCGCTTGTATTTTTGCTGAAATAGAACAATACTGTGTTTAGCTCTTTTACAGTTAATCTTCTTGAAACTCTTAGAGTCATATTAAACTGTGTTTGGAGGGCACTAAAAAGATAGCTTCAAATCTCTCATCCTTCTCGATGAAGCCACTACCTCCTCGGAAATATCTCACTTAGCCTGTCGATATCATAAATAGAAAAGTAGATTTGTCAGACTCCAAAGTTGGTAGTAAATTTAGCAATTTCCCACATTCAATCTTTAATAACAGCTTTGGGGTTTTGGGGTTTTGGGGTTTTGGGGTTTTGGGGTTTTGGGG